ATTATCGATGATGCTGGAAAAATATTAAATATTCACGCATAGAAATATCCGCGGTAATTTAACGACAAATCAGAGGGTCAATAAGGATATGTTGAATTAAGTGTATTATACAATTAAATTAACTCTTAATCGGTGGTATTTTTAAACATAAGCGCTGTAACAATAAAGTGTATTTGGTATAAATTCATTGAATATTGATTTAAAACTAAGTCGGATTCCGTTTAATATTAAATTAACGTTAATCCAAACTAAGCTGATGAGTTTTATAGAATTGTTAGTTTTTTTCAACTTAACTCAACACTGGAGTTGTTTTAACACCCGAATTATTTCAATTTAATTATACGGAACGGTGTAATAACCCCAAAATATCTGAAAAACCCAACATCGCGCGTCATCCCAACCGTCGATGGGCGTTGAGTAAACAATATTTCATAGTGAAATTCTATTAACACTAACCTCTCATTTCTATTACGACTGTTCAGTGTTCATAAGTCAATACACGTGTTTGTTTTAAAACTTAGTTCGTAACTGGTATATATTAATTATTAACATATAATTAACAATTCAGAAATTGTATATATAAGTTGTTAAGATGTATTCAGATAATAATTTCAATGCAAAGGACGTATCTGAAGTCGTCAAAGTAAGTACCTACCTATTTGTTTTATTAAAAAATGTTGCGTTACAAAGTATAAGATGTTAGAATCATTTTAGGATTGTTTTATTAATGAAGATTATTTTCAAAGCACAGATAGTATTGAAACAACCTTTTTAGTACCAAACATAACTGAAGTGCCTCATATTGAAAATCTTCAAGATACTACTGATGTCAATGAACCAAGTAAATATTACTTAACACTAAACCGTCCAAGTCCATACACATCATCCAATCCTTCACCTTCAACCTCGACACCAACACATCAAAAGTATGGAAAATATAAACCAATGGAATGGACTATTGAGGTATTTTAATAAAAATAACTGTTGTGTGATACAAGGCCGTATCCAGGAATTTTTTTTTTTCGGGAGGGGTCCAAAACATGTATATTGTAATTTTAATGAATTTAGGCTTTCATAATTGGTTAAAAATAAGGTATTGAAAAAATATCTGTCTCCCTGAACCCCCCTCAGATACGGCCTTGGTGTGATACAGAGTTTAATATTTTATAAAATAATTCTGTTTTCTAGACAATTTTAGAACTTTTACATACATCCAATGATGGTCGTTTCGTTTTAGCCGACTCAAAAGCAAATAACGGCTCTTTATCTGATGATGGTCAAAATACCCTAACAAAACTACTAATTAATTTTCTATTCCAAGATAATAGCAAGTAAGTGATATATTTTCTTGATTTAAAATAAATGGTGTACACTTGTTTTAAAAGTACCTACATATTTAAAATCTGATTTGATAGTTAGGTATGAAATATCATTCTTAATAAATAAACTCTTAAAATATTAAAATGAGCGCTTCATTTTTTAAAAAACAATATAGGTACAGTTTTTTAACATAATAAGAAAAGTGAAAATTGCTAACAAATGAACATTATTTAGATCTATAGTATATAAATAATTAATCAACATGGATTTTGTTTTAAACTTAGTGATATCCATATTTAATTTTCTACATAAATCAGCTATTCTTAATAAATGTTTAAAAATGTTTTTACTTTTATACAATTTAAGTTCTTTAATGTTTTTCATCTTGTATTATAAGTATGGACAGAATGGTGTGGCTTAAACATAGTTCAATCAGTTTTAAATAATATGAATGAATTATGTGTCAGTTATATTAGATAATATTTAATTTTAATATTTAATACAATATTAAAGTCTAGCATTATAATATTATAACCTTCATTAATTTGTATTTTATAATTATAAAGAGTGGCTTTTTACAATAAATTATTAATGAGTACCTATAAAACAGTTTTAATTTTATAAATTTCTTTTTTCTTTTTAATTTTTTTAGAGGTTCAGATTTATTTTTTCGAAAAATAGCAACATTAATTTGTAAAGTATTTCCTAACGAGCAAAAGGTATTTAGATTTTAGTTGAACCAATAGATTTTAGAGGTACATAATTTTTTTTCATAGAGTGTATATTTCATACCGGCTGGAGAAGGCAATACTCATGCTAAAGGGAAATTGATAGAGAGATGGAAGAATGTATCTCGTAGATTGCGTAGTATAGGTGCAATTGAATCCGATAAGAAAAAACCAAGCTCTACTACAGTTGATCTTGCATCACACATATTTCCTGGTAATTTCAAAGTATTATATAATATTATAAATTTTTCTAATTAATTTTTTTATTGTTTAGAAAATGTTGAAACCGCTAAAATCTGGCTTAGTGAAAATGGTTTGTCGGCTAATTTTGAAGATATCAAAAGTAATTGGATAATTACTTACCAAATAAGAAAATTAGAAATACAAGGCGTAGATAATAAATCTATAACTGATCGTCATCTCTCAGATATTTTTAAAGCATGGCCAATTTTGTGTAGCTCAAGAGGACATGACCTAGTAAGTTTTCCCTTGCTTAAATTTTCTTTACTACCTAATCATTAAATAAATAAATATTATAATTAGTTTAAAATATAAACATTATAAATAATTTGACTATTCAATTTATTTGCATGACTGTTAGAACCCATCATATTAATATTATTGTATATACATTTTTTTTTTTTTAAGATTTCTGAAGATTTCAAACTTGAATATCCACAAATAGAACATGAAACTCTTAGTGATTGGTCTGTGTATATTAAAAAATGGATATTATTTTCTGACATAATAGTTAGTGTACGGCGGAGTTCAGTTAAGGATAATCATGCCAGAGAACTTTTAAAACACCTTGATGCCGCACAACTAAGAGGAAGTTAGTATAAATAACCAAATTTCATCAAAATGTTAGGTATCTCTGCTATTATTCAACATTAATTTTAAAGGCTTATTAAAACTAAATATTTTATTTATTTTTCATTAGTTTATTTATTAAATAAAGTTCTACTAGTTCTCTTTAATTTCACTGGATTTATAATCAATTTAATAATACTATTTATTATAACAATTAAAACTTAATAGTTGCACCTACATGTACAGTGTTATTTGTAAGGTACCTATTACATATTTAATAATGATTATTGATTTGTACTAGATAGTAGTAGATACTGTATTTACCAAGGCATTAAATTTTTATTCATTGTGTTTTATATTTAGGTATTAAAACAGTTAATGTATTGAAACTTTTACTTATTCCATACTTGGTACCTACAAAAACTCAAATTAAAAAGACGCAAAAAAAGTCTTGGAAGCCATCATTATCAGAATCTGCAGCAGCTTTTGCGGTTCATGTTACCGTATGTTCTGTATATTATGAAAATAATTCTTATCACATAAATATTGTTAACACTTCCTTGTTTTAACAGAACCTTACAGAGCTTGAAGCTGAACTTGGCAGAAGAAGGCTAAAATACGTACAGTATGGGACAACGATACAACCTTTCATAGTTTTAGTGGGTCAAGACATATTTTCTGTTGAGTCGGCCTACGTCAGAGTTGATGATAACTGTTGGAATTTTGATTGTCCACTAAAAGCACTAAACGCTTGTTTTACAACCTACAATGCCTTACATTGTACCTATCCACGTGTGTGTTATGAATCATGGCTGATTTTACAACTTCAACTTTATAATTTTACAACCATTTACGATCAAAAATCATCAATTATTACATCTTTATCAAGCAAAATGAACGCTTTAAAAAATACTTATTTGTAAATTTTTATTTAAAAATTTCAATTTATTTAGTATCAGTTTTTACTAATATGAACTAGGTGAAATAATAATTTTCTCTGTATTTATTATATATTCTTGTTAAAAAAGTTTTGTTATTTCTTTTAATACATTATGTATAAATGTTATTTATGTTTAAAAGATTTCCGGTCCATAGCAAAGTTAATTTGGCACATGAAAATATATCATAATCTTGGTAATAATTCGTTTTATCTCTGTAAACAAAAAAATTGTGTACGTGATTTCAGGGGTTTAAAAAAATTTAGGCAGCATTTAAATAGGGAACATTCCCAAGTTACGGTAAACCAAAATGATGAAATCAGTTTTAGTAATACAATAACTGAATCCACTGTTGAATCTTTGGTAGAATTACCTGAAATATTTAATATATCATCTACTACATTTTCTGAACTCGATAGTACACCCTTAACAAATAATATTGAATCATATGAATTAATTGAAGAATCTGTCATTATAAATGACCTTGTTAATAATTATACTAAA